GGTTTACTTCCCTTCAAGGACAAAACTGGCTACCCGCAGTGTCTCATCCTGCCACCTCATTAATAACCATTCTGCCTCAGAGTTTTGATCAGCAGCCTTTCCTCAGTTAGGTCTGGTGGTGACGGCCACACTTAGGCCACCGAGGGGCTCCGAGATGGCAATTGGGTGCAATGAGCCAGAGAACAATCTGCGCACCCCCCTATGCATGCAAGGGTCGGGGGGGCTTAGGCCACGGAGAGAAGGGAAGAAAGCAAAAGTGGTTCTCAGCTTTGGGTCCTTTTCTTCTAAAGAAACATAAGGGCTTTGCCTGAATAACTCACCTCAAGGGACAAAGGGCTTGTGCAGATGTGCTTGTCAAGAAGGTGTTGGTGTCGTCAGGCGCCATCCAGTTGAAAATGACTGGCAGAGCCTCTAACAGGTCTTAGGAATAATAATGCCAGTTTCCCTCCCCCGGTGAGTTTCCATGGTTGATTGAGCGTCTCCCTGAGAGTGAGAGAACCACCTGGAGTCTCCCCAGAAGAGTCTCTCTCAGGCTTTCTGCTTGGCACTTTGCCATCCTTGGTGGGCAGCTTAGACTGAACTGCCAACTCTAGCAAAACTTCTTTCTTGCTCTTACCTCGTTTTTCTTTCTCCTCCCCTTTAAATCTCAGTATTCTCAGTCACGTCCTGTGTCTCCTGTGTGAAAACATAATATCAGGATATTAGGAGGCTACGCGCAAAGAAACACAGACTCAGGTGTCGGCTACCTTCCTAGCATGTTGTTTCTGTGCAGACAATGTTTTAATAAAGGGAAGTACTTTTAAAATACATCTCTTCTTGTACAGAAAGGGCCCCTTCTGATGGGTGGGTGGGCAGGGGCTGTGGCCCCTCAAACCCCCAATATGCCCAGCATGGTTCCTGAACCCTCTTTCCCTCCCTTTCCTCGGCTGGCAGCACTTGCTGCTTTGCTATTCATCTGGTTCATTCGATGCTCATTACCTGGAGCAGTTGGTCTAACGTCTCCATCACAAAATCCTCTTCACTGCCCATGTTGTTTTCGAAGGACAACTATGAAAAAGAAGGATTTGCTCAAAGGACAACGAGGACTCAAATGGAAAATCTTTTGAGACCCCTACTTTTACGAGCCTTTGTGTGTACGAGGAGGAGAAATGCAGTCCCTGGAGGAAAAAACCCTCCTCCTCTTAGCTGCACCCCACCAGCTAGGATCCATTGGCCCCATACATTGACATGGCATTGCAGTGAGGAAAGGGCTGCTGCCCAGACCCCATTGGGGACAGGGGGACTGGAAGGAAAGCAGGTCTAACTTACCCAACTGAAGGAATCCTCCTCCAGCCTCCTAGGGGCACGATAGTGAGGGACCTCCAGGAGACTAGGAGAAAAAGCCCACCCGAGAGATGAGAACAGGACATCCGAAGGGGCCTCCTGCTCGGGGGAGCCCTCTCCCACCCAGCAGGGCAGCAGTGGCCGGCCTCCTCTTGAGGGGCTCCTCCCAATCCTCCTGCCAAAGGTAGACTCCCTCTGAATACAGGAGCTCCTTTCCTTCTTGCAATCATGAACCGGGTGCGAGACCTGCCCTGCCAGCTGGGAGGAGGTTGGCCAAGGGCCAGCCCTCTTTCCCGGGAGGGAGCTAGAAAGCTGGACAGAAGGCGTTGGACGCGTGCAAGTCTAGCCCCTCCCCTTGTTCTGAAGCCTGGGGCGGGGGGGAATCTCTGAACGAAACCAAGCCACCCCTTCCGGTCCCTTCGGCTGACTCACTTTTCCGCTGAGTCCAACAGGATTTCCAAGCTGT